ATGACTAACATTTTCATATTTAAAATAGGACAAACTGAAACCCTGTCCCCTATCTACCAAACTCCCATCTAGCCCACCCAACCAGACTGACTGGACAAAGCACACCAGTTTTAATAGTTATTCACCGTGAGGTCATCATACAGGACAAGGGGGCACTCTTTACGTCTGGAGGAAAAGAAACGTAATCTCCAAATATGGAAAGGTTTCTTCACAGTAAGAGCTGTGAAAATGTGGAATAGACTTCCTCAAGAGTTAGTTCTGGCCAGCTCAGTGGATTGCTTTAAAATAGGCTTGGATTATTTCCTAGATACACAGAATATAACTGTTTTTTTATGGTTAAACTGGATGGGCTTGTCTTTTTTTTCAGCCAGACTAACTATAACTATTAATAGGAAATCACAACATTTGTCACTCTACGGCGGACTTTAAATGTACCAGTGAGCAAGACATATATTGGTCCAAACATGTGTAAATAAAATTATAAAAAAGGTCATTGTTTTATTCCATAAATGTTTTATTAATGAATATAGAAAGCATGTACAAAGAAACAGACAGGTATCATATCCTTGATATAAAAAGAAAGGTAACGTATCAAGATCATGGCAAAAGAACAGACCTTTTAAAATGGAGCATAGATCACATATAAACATTCGTCAAATGGTCATTTTTACTTATTTGTACACGCTAAAACATTTTTTTCCCCAAAACTTCATAAAGACATAAACATTATAAAATCATGCCATATGAGATCCAAGTTCAAAATTATGTCTAATTCAACATCCTAATCTATGCATTTTGTGGTGATAAACTACATCTTCAGGACTGGATTGTTGGTATCATGCATATACATTGATTATTCTGTCTGCAATACGTACAAACAATAAAATAAAGAATCTATACCACAACGTGTCTTAAACAAACATTTACATTCAGTATGATTTGTTCTTGATATTTACAGGTGAAACTCGAAAAATGTGAATATTGTGCAAAAGTTTGTTTATTTCAGTAATGCAACTTAAAGGTGAAACTAAAATATGAGATAGACTCATTACATGCAAAGCAAGATAGTTCAAGCCGTGATTTGTCATAATTGTGATGATTATGGCTTACAGCTCATGAAAACCCCAAATCCACAATCTCAGAAAATTAGAATATTGTGAAAAGGTGCAATATTCTAGGCTCAAAGTGTCCCACTCTAATCAGCTAGTTAAGCCATAACACCTGCAAAGGGTTCCTGAGCCTTTAAATGGTCTCTCGGTCTGGTTCAGTAGGAATCACAATCATGGGAAAGACTGCTGACCTGACAGTAGTGCAGAAAACCATCATTGACACTCTCCATAAGGAGGGAAAGCCTCAGAAGGTAATTGCAAAAGAAGTTGGATGTTCCCAAAGTGCTGTATCAAAGCACATTAATAGAAAGTTATGTGGAAGGGAAAAGTGTGGAAGAAAAAAGGTGCACAAGCAGCAGGGATGACCGCAGCCTGGAGGGGATTGTCAGGAAAAGGCCATTCAAAAGTGTTGGGGACTTTCACAAGGAGTGGACTGAGGCTGGAGTCAGTGCATCAAGAGCCACCACACACAGACAGATCTTGGACATGGGCTTCAAATGTCGTATTCCTCTTGTCAAGCCGCTCCTGAACAACAAACAATGTCAGAAGAGTCTTACCTGGGCTAAAGAAAAACAGACCTGGTCTGTTGCTCAGTGGTCCAAAGTCCTCTTTTCTGATGAGAGCAACTTTTGCATCTCATTTGGAAACCAAGGACCCAGAGTATGGAGGAAGAATGGAGAGGCACACACTGCAAGATGCTTGAAGTCCAGTGTGAAGTTTCCACAGTCAGTGTTGATTTGGCGAGCCATGTCATCTGCTTGTGTTGTGCTTCATTCAGTCCAGGGTCAACGCAGCCGTCTACCAGGAGATTTTGGAGCACTTCATGCTTCCTTCCACAAATGAGCTTTATGGGGATGCTGACTTCATTTTCCAGCAAGACCTGGCACCTGCCCACACTGCCAAAAGCACCAAAACCTGGTTCTATTACCGTGGGATTACTGTGCTTGATTGGCCAGCAAACTCACCTGACCTGAACCCCATAGAGAATCTATGGGGCATTGCCAAGAGAAAGATGAGAGCCATGAGACCAAACAATGCAGAAGAGCTGAAGACCACTATTGAAGCATCCTGGTCTTCCATAACACCTCAGCAGTGCCACAAGCTGATAGCTTCCATGCCACGCCGCATTGAGGCAGTAATTGCTTCAAAAGGGGCCCAAACCAAGTACTGAGTACATATGCATGCTTATACTTTTCAGAGGTCCGATATTGTTCTATGTACAATCCTTGTTTTATTGATTGCATGTAATATTCTAATTGTCTGAGATTGTGGATTTGGGGTATTCATGAGCTGTAAGCCATAATCATCACAATTATGACAAATCACGGCTTGAACTATCTTGCTTTGCATGTAATGAGTCTATCACATATATTAGTTTCACCTTTTAAGTTGCATTACTGAAATAAATGAACTTTTGCACGATATTCTAATTTTTCGAGTTTCACCTGTATAATATACAGTACACTATATTGCCAAAAGTATTTGGACGTCTGCCTTTACATGCACATGAACTTTAATGGCATATCAGTCTTAGTCCATAGGGTTCAATACTGAGTTGGCGCACCCTTTGCAGCTATAACAGCTTCAACTCTTCTGGGAAGGCTGTCCACAAGGTTTAGCAGTGTGTCTATGGGAATGTTTGACCAATCTTCCAGAAGCGCATTTGTGAGGTCAGGCACTGATGTCGGATGAGAAGGTCTGGCTCGCAGTCTCCTCTCTAATTCATCCTAAAGGTGTTCTATTGGGTTGAGGTCAGGACATGTTGGAATAAGGAAGGGGCCATCCACAAACTGTTCCCACAGTGTTGAGAGCATGAAATTGTCCAAAATGTCTTGGTATGCTGACACCTTAGGATTTCCCTTCACTGGAACTATGAGGCCAAGGCCAAGCCCTGCACAACTCCACACCATAATCCCCTTTCCACCAAACTTTACACTTGGTACAATGCAGTCAGGCAAGTATCTTCTCCTGGCAACTGCCAAACCCAAACACGTCCATTGGATTGCCAGACAGAGAGGTGTGATTCGTCACTCCAGAGAACAGATCTCCACTACTCTAGAGTCCAGTGGTGGCATGCTTTATGCCACTGCATCCGACGCTTTGCATTGCACTTGGTGATGTAAGGTTTGGATGCAGCTGCTCGGTTATGGAAACTAATTCCATGAAGCTCTCTACACACTGTTGTTGCTCTAATCTGAAGGCCACATGAAGTTTGCAGAGTCATTAGCGAAAGACCTCCAGACAGTTTGCGACTTCTTCAGTGTCTGCTTCAGCATGCTCTGATCCCGCTCTGTCATTTTATGTGGCCTACCATTTCATGGCAGAGTGTCTGTTGTTCCCAGTTGCTTCCACTTCACTTATAATACCACTAACAGCTGACCCTGGAGTATTTATTAGCATGGAAATTTCACAGATGGACTTATTGCACAGCTGGCAACCTATCACGGTACCACGCTTGAATTCACTGAGCTCCTGAGAGCGACACATTCTTTCACAAATTAAGGTGTAATCCTCCTGTGCTCTTAAATTGACAATGCTACCTAACGTGGGGAGCTGCCAGCACCCAATCATATACCATATGAATAACAGACAATATTAATTAAACTGGTGCAGTGCTTATCTTTAAATGAACTATATTATAAATAAATCAATATATTTACATACATGACAATTACCTATGAATACAAAATGTGAACTGATCCACTCATGAAAAAATACATTATTGAATTTTACATGTCGGAGGAGGAGCTGATGAAGGAACGGTTGAATGTGCGGATGAAGAAGTGCTCCTTGATGTACATCAAATATTCAGTAATGAATCCTACCTGCCTACAACACCCAGTGAACTCTGCAACCGTCTGTTGAGCACTTGTTGCGTGGCGACAGAGAACTCCTCTTCTGAGACTCGAGAGAGCCAGCATGCTGTCACAGCAAATAGATCTCTTTTATGTCTTCACTTTGATCTCAATGTGAGTGGGCTATATCACATTTATACATGCCTGGAGGGGACCGTGCTGCCTTAAACGCACATCATTGAAGGGGATATCACCGCTTTTGGAAGGATATCATACATAGAGGGGAATCCTACCGTGGAGGATCCCTTTGTGATCCTACAAGCGTTTTGGCCCTTTTGGGTCGCTGCAAGGAGGTGAGGGGGCAATTCAGCCATTTAAGGATTATTTCCCATTGGTTGTTATGCACATCCACCTTATCACCTGCACATTTGAAAAATCGTTGGATCACTTGGTGTTTTTGCACCTTTGAACTTTTTATGTATGTGTTTATTGATTTATTATATATTTGCGGTGTACGTTTTTTTTATATATTGTTGATTTATCAATTTATTTTTCACAGAGGAGATTTATCCCTTTATAGGGATTCACGTCTTTGCCACTTTGTCTTTTAATTTTATTTTATTTTGCTATTCTTTGGCATTATCAGTCACTGTGATTTGGTTGCTTTATGTGTGATATTGGTCACGCATGAGGGATTTGTGAATATCATATATTTGGTTTATTCCCATTTATCCAGTCCCATTTGGACTGTTTTTGTTCATCACTATTTCTTATCAAGTCACCATGTTTAATCACTTTTTGGCTATCACTATAGATCCCTGAGTGGATCAGTTCACTTGATTCCAGGTTTTCTGAGTTTATTTTATTTTGATTTGGTTCATACCATTTAGCTCAATCATCTTTTTGGTTTCACTATAGATCCCAGAGTGGATCAATTCACATTTTGTATTCACAGGTAATTGTCACATATGTAAATATATTGATTTATTAATAATTAGTTTTTTTAAAGATACGCGCTGCACCAGTTTAATTAATATATTATTTCACAAAGGTTTGTAGAAGCAGCCTGAATGCCTAGATGCTTGATTCTATACACCTGTGGCCATGGAGGTGATTGGAACACCTGAATCCAATGATTTGGAGGGGTGTCCCAATACTTATAGTATATATATTTTATGGCAAATATACACTTAAGTTCCAGACTATCCCACACAACAGTTAGGGACCCCATAATGGCTCTGTGGGATGGAAGATCTTGGGTGCCAAAAACAGTTTATCAGATTTTAATTTAGCCCAAAAGACCATAAAACTTGCAGACTCTGTATTTCTACAACACAGAAGAAGGACCTTTATGTGTCAAATGGACTTTAGCCATTACAGTATCTCTGGATGCCCAGACTTGCTCCCACTCCCCATAGATGGGGTGTTCTGGGTCCCTTCCAAATACTGTACAGCTATCCTATGCCTTACATTCTCTCACTCAGTGCAACTGTGGGAATCCGTTTGTAAAATGCAGCCTCTCCATTCCCCCTCACACACCTGTTGCCCCTCTCTTTTAACAACCCTTTATTCTTACCTTATCTACAGCCACTTCAATCTGTTTGGTGGCAGAATAAAGGCATTTATTGCATAGGACAATTCCTTGACCGGAAGGGTATACATCCCCCCCACATATTTTGTGCAGGATCTAAAGATGCCTCCATCTGAGAGTTTCCACTTTCAGAAATCCAGCACTATCTCCACTCACTACAGAAAAAGAGCTCTGATCTAACTTAGCACTCAATGTTTGAAAATAGGTGTATATAAGAGATTCTCTAGCATGGATGCATCTCGATGTTATACACAGCATTTGTCACCCTCCATTTGTCACCCCCTCTTCAAAGCCTCCTTACCAGATTGTGTGGGAAAGGGACCCAAACATTGAGGCAGGAAGATTGGCAAGCCTGGAACGTTCATATATACAGGGGTTTTATGAGTATAGCCTTGGTGGAAGCACGGTACAAAGTATACGTTAGATGTGCAGCACTACCCCAGCACTACCCTCTTGGGAGTCGCTGGAATATTTGGGCCCCCCTACAGTCCTGCACAGCTAGGCATCACACATCTTCACAAAAGCTTGCATCCAGAGTCAGAAGTCAGTCCTTGAGCTTTTGGAACTATTTACAAGCCTTCTCTGCAGCACAGTCTCTGTTGGAGAGCTAGCCAATGTCTCCTTAGTATAACCGCCCAGACCCTAGATGAACTTCTCCTCTTCACCCAGCTATCTGGAAGTATCCCTGGACAGGGGATCTGGTTCATGTCACTTTAAGAGTTGAACAGTCATTGAAAGGTGGCTAATCTGGTTTTCCACCAGAGTGCTCCTTCCCCTATCTGCCCAGGGGTGTAGGTGTGCTCACTCAGACCCTCTCCTGTGGCTGCTATCAGGCCTATCAACTAGGCCACTCTTCTTTCCCTGCCATACAGGTGGTTCTCTCTCAGGGGGGCGGTGAGTTTTCCAATACTGGATGTTGCTTTGCTGAAGCGAAAGCTGACCTGGATTATGCTCCACGAAAAGATAGTGAGTGTCCTACAAGATAAAAAAAAAAAAATCACTATTTGAAAAAAACTCCCTAGCATGCATCACTTGCAATAAACCTCCTAGTGGTTTGCCAGAGAAGCATAAATATTCATATCTCAGATTATATTGTCTCACGCTATTGCCAGAGACATTCCCCAACAGCAGGCAGAAGCAAACAATAATACTGAGTTCAGGGAAACCTGAGGAAAGCAGAACTATAAAAACGTGCTTAGGTTGGCTACAGCCTAGCAGCATTAAATGTGTTCAAGGGACACTACTGCTTAGGACAGGGTCACTGCTCTAGCATATTTGTTTACACACTCCCCTCTGCATTCTATAAGGCAAAGTTATTTTCAGTAATAATTAGTAATCATTTACAGTAAAAATTGGCACTGGTAGTCAGTGGAGAAATATCTCATTACAGCGGTGGTCATTGGAAAAGCACCACCTACATGGGTAGTAAGTGAAAAAAACACCCCCTTTAATTGGTGGTCAGTATAGTGCCTTAATACATTGTTAGTCAGTTGAAAAATGCCCCCTTACATTGGTGGTCAATGGGATAGGTGCTACTTTAAATTGGTAATCAATGGAAATGTGCCCCCTTACAAAGCATGATCAAATTGGTGGTCAGTGGGAGAATGATTCCTTTACATTGGCAGTCAGCAGGAGAAGGCCCCCCTTACACTAGCTGGCTAGCAAGAAGAGTACCCCTAACATTGATGGTCAGTAGGAAGAATACCCAATTACATTAAGGGTTAGTGGAAAGACTATCTATACCCTGTTAGTCAGTGGGAAGAACACAATCCTTACAAACAGCTAAAAGATAATTGGTATCAGTGGTTTCCTACCCAAGAAGAAGCCCTACTATTTCCACACTACTAGCTCAGCCAAGTGATATTGGCACCAGAACTATGCAGGCACTGTCAGGTTGGGAATCAATCTGATTTCTGATGATTACTACCTCTTCTGAATACCACCTCTGGAGGCATCCTAGATGAGAAAGGTTGGTTTAGCAAGAAAAAAAAAAAACACCCATTATACGAACCATCTATGCATATCTTTGACTATTACACATTTAAAAACCTGTGTAAATAGCCATATATAATTTAAATGTAATAGTAAAATATGAATGAAAAAGATATTATGTTAGTTGCCTGGAATACTGGTTTTACCACTTTCAACTTCCATAAAGATCAAACGGTAATATACTATTATCTGTTTTAGCAGAAGGTGATTAGTAATCAGACAAAAATGTTACACCTTGCTCTGTTGTGGTGCATTCCTGTGAAATCTGGCAAAAATGAATGCCAGGGAAACATCATACAGACTCCGGAGGACTCTTGGCCAGAGATTTACTGCAAAAATGTCCCTGTAAATCACTTTTAAATATTTTAAAAAATGTAATGCATTCAGTGGTTTTCTGAGCAAAAAAAAAAAACTATTTACCATCCACTACAGAAGAAATCTGCCTATAGGAGTTTGAATTCTTTTAGGTTGTATCTACTTCCAATAATATTATATTATTTGTTATTTAAGACCAATCTCTACTTTAAATAAACTTACATTATAATGTCACTGCACGATGCATAACACGACAAAGCTACAATGTTGTATTGCAGTTTGGGATGTACTGCTATTACTCTGTAATATTAGAAGGATCACTAAATTATATCACTGGCTGTTTTCAAGGGTAACGTGCTGTGACCACACAAAACACACACTGGAAAACATTTTTACAGGTATAAAAAAAAAAAAAAAAACAGTTAAATTAAGATTTGAATTTGCACAGCAAAGTATATCCATATGTGATATATTGTGAACTTACTGTGGCCTTCACTGCTTTTTTTATTTGTGTAATTTATTAATTTGTTTACAGGAATAGGAAAGAATGATGTCACCCTAAAATCCACAAAAATGTAGTTTCTGGCTTCGGCTTTATCTTATATAATTAAATGGGAAAATATTATACACAGAGTTTGTCTACATACTGATTTGTATACTTTTTAAATAACACAAAACTCACAAAAATTAGCAATTCTTGTATAGAAAAGTCAAACATGTCAGTACACACAGCAAGCGTAAATTATTTTACTGTAACATACTCATTTATCAAACATCCCACTTGTTTGTGCATATCATATACAGTATGTGGCATTTAAACTGGCTTCCTAAAGTTTTTTCCTGCCAAACTGAAAAGATAGCTTTTTGAAGTCCGTGTTAGTTAAGCTCTGTGGTGTGTTATTCTGTATTCTGTGCATGTGCTGTTTGTTCAGTATATGCCGTATATACTGTGCTGGATAGATGCTGTGTTGAGTGCTGTGTACTTTCCAGGTGCTCTGTTGTGTGATAACATGTGTTTAGCCAGGTACTTGGCTAGGAATAATGCAGGCCATAGATGGGTCGAAAATCGGCCGATTTTCGGATCGTTAGTGGGCTATTTGTTCGGCCGTTTTTCGGTATTTTTGCCGTTTTTTTTTAAATCGGGAAAGTTGGAAAAAATGGCCGATTTTCGCGGCAATAATGGGCTAATCGGCCGATTTTTTACCGATAAAAAATCTGCGCATGAGCAGTGACCTGCAAGAGGAAGACAAAAAGAAGAAAAAGAAGAAGAGGAAGAGGAAGAGGATGATGATGATGAAGAAGAAGAGGATGATGATGATGATGAAGAAGAAGAGGATGATGATGATGATGAAAAAGAAGAAAAGGAGGATGATGATGAAGAAGAAGATGAGGATGATGATGAAGAAAAAAGAAGAAGAGGATGATGATGAAGAAGTAGAAGAAGATGAAGAAGAGGATGATGATGATGAAGAAGTAGAAGAAGAGGATGATGATTACGAAGAAGAAGAAGAAGAGGAAGAAGAGGATGATGATGACGAAGAAGAAGAGGATGATGATGAAGAAGAAGAAGAGGAGGAGGAGGAGGATGATGAAGTAGAAGAAGAAGAGGATGATGATGAAGAAGTAGAAGAAGATGAAGAAGAGGATGATGATGACGAAGAAGAAGAAGAGGATGATGATGAAGTAGAAGAAGAAGAGGATGATGATGATGACGAAGAAGTAGAAGAAGATGAAGAAGAGGATGATGATGATGAAAAAGTAGAAGAGGATGATGATGATGATGATGAAGTAGAAGAAGAGAGGATGATGATGAAGAAGTAGAAGAAGATGAAGAAGAGGATGATGATGACGAAGAAGAAGAAGAGGAGGAGGAGGATGATGAAGTAGAAGAAGAGGATGATGATGAAGAAGTAGAAGATGAAGAAGAGGATGATGATGATGACGAAGAAGAAGAAGAAGAGGAGGAGGAGGAGGATGATGAAGTAGAAGAAGAAGAGGATGATGAAGAAGTAGAAGAAGATGAAGAAGAGGATGATGATGATGAAGTAGAAGAAGAAGAAGAGGATGATGATGATGAAGTAGAAGAAGAAGAGGATGATGATGAAGAAGTAGAAGAAGATGAAGAAGAGGATGATGATGATGATGATGAAGAAGAAGAAGAGGATGATGATGATGACGAAGTAGAAGAAGATGAAGAAGAGGATGATGATGACGAAGAAGAAGAAGAAGAAGAGGATGATGATAAAGAAAAAGAA